TGTAAACTTCTATACTCGTTTCGTCGAGAAAGAAGAGAATTTTTTCTTACTCGTTCTTTTTTGAATCATACAAGTCAATATTTACGTGTATTCTGTTCGATACGTACTTTGCCTAATTTTTCTCTACCTAGTAAGACATGAATATTTTTTGCAAACGTTGACTGAATGATTACATTCATGAAAATGATTTAATTAGTGTCTGTTTTACACTGGTTTAATGCGTTTTTTTCTTCAGATCTTTTTTCTCTCTTAACAAACTGATTCCTAAGGATCTGTTCCTGGCTGGTGGCCTCAAAAATATTATTTTTAGGATTTGTGGAAAAAAAGTTAGTATCGGTTTTGGAAAATATTGTTCCGTTGCTAAGAAAATTAATTTTCTTGAAACAGGTAGCAAAAAACAAGAAAATTCACTTGTATTTTGCAGTTTTCACCGTCAACTTATCATTTTTTGCAAAACCAATGTCATATTTGGAATCAGCATCAAAAGCTGAGTTAGTTGATGTGTGTCTCAGGATTTTTGGAGAACTTTCATTTTTTTCGAACTTTTCAACCGAAATTTTTGTGGAAAATCTGCTTTTATTTCAAAATTTGGCTGCATTACGCCCATGTTTAAAAAATCAGTGTTTTAAAATTTTTTATATTTATATCATATATAATATATATCATATTTTTTATCTTTTCTTTGTTATATTCACTCGTGTAAAACAGAAACAAAAATGAAGTCTAGCATTTCGAGAGGAAAATAGAAGCATGAAGGAAACAGTGTTGCTGTAGCTGTTTACTTCAGTAAGTAGACTATAGTAACACTTTTCCCTTCATGGACAAAGCATGGACGTAGACAAAATTTTTGTTTTGTCTATGCACATATGCATAAGGGAGACCGGACTGTCCATGCAAATAGATGAGATTGAACAGGAAAAATTATCCATATAGACCTCCTATCTTATTCCTCACTTTTAGAAAAAAACGTATTTCTGCCAAAAAACAGATTGAACGGCGAAGAGACAAACAACCAGCAGGCACTGTCAATCGGTCTTTTTTGGAGAGTATAATGGACGTTTTTAACATTTGATTTTATCGTAAGGTTATTGAACTGTGAAGTGACTAAGGAGGGAACATATGCTGGTGTCCGGTCGGTTTTTATCTGGAACCTAGTGAAAAATAGGTAATCAGACGTGCTTAATACGAATATCACAACGAGACTGGCCCAGAGACCTGATTTCTGGCAAACCAGGCTTTCAGAAGCTCTAAAAAATAACCGAAACCTTTCTTAATACGGTGGGATTGTAGACCGCAAATTTTCGATTAAAATGAGACATCTCCCAGCTCTTCACGACTTTTCTTTGCAAAGTTATAGAATTTACAAGAAAAGCCCGAAATTGATTTCTTATTTCTGTAGATTTGAGGTGGCAATGAACATTTAGGGCTTTTCGTGTAAGTTCTATAACTTTGCAAAGAAAGGTCGTGTAGATTTAGGTTTCAGATAAAAAGCGAGCAGACACTTGTATATGTTTCCCTCGTAAGAGTAAATTGGAGTTTTTCTTTTAAACCATCTAAATTATTACCGGAATTGTTGATCCATTCTCAACTTCTGTTGTTGGTGCCAGTAATAAGTCGGGTGATGAGACTGATGGTAAAATTACTGATTGTTGCTTTTGTTCATTTTCATTAATTCTTGTCAACGGATGTTCATGTGGCGTTTGTTGTTTTGAATAACAATCAGTACAAAGATCAAAATCATCACATTTTGTACACTGATAAAATATATCACATGGCATGAAACATTGATTACAGAAATTACTCTTTTTGACAGCCTCGAAAATGACGCGTAATGTTGAAAATTTTGAATGGCGAAGCGTGGAGAATTCATGATAATTTTGCCTTTGGAAGGTAAGAAAACTATCTCTACTATTGAACAATGATGAAAATAGTGTAGGCTGATAATCATTCCGATCTTGCCACTGGTCTATTGGATGCAAATATATAAACAGGAACTCCTAAAAAGAATATATTTTGTAATAAAAGAAAACGAATACAAACATGTGTATAAAAATATTTTGTTTTCATTCAAATTCATTTTCTGCCTATGCTCTATATGCGATTCAATTTTCTTTATTTGATACCCTCTCATGAACGGTCAATTTTCTTGTTGTGAAGTCCTGCACAAGCTACAGTGTCCGTCAATGATTTTTTCTTGTAATTTCTGTATGAATAATAAACTAAACAGATCAGTTTTCAGTTAATAAGTGAGTATGATTACTAGACATGGGCTAATTAATATCCAGCATATAAATTTCATTTATGGAAAACTGTAATGTTATCAAGATTACTGATTGATAATTCATGAGCAGTGGGATACATTCTAATGAAATCTTTATTGTGGGGACCAATACTATGATGTAGACATATAACAAACCTTAGCATGTTTCTTAAGTAAGATTTTTAATTCATTCGACAGCAGTTGTTTGATTTGTGCTTGTGCTTCTAATTGATAATTTTTATTTATTTTTGCTGTAAGTAAAACATTTTAGTTTACTTTTTATACAAACAGATTTCTATTTACCAATCGTAGTCTCGATCTCATCTGGCCATGCGTCACCTTCCATATATGGTAGCGAAAAGATTTCTTGCCCGGCTTTCCAGCAGTTCATTTCTTTTTCTAATTCCTAAATTTAAATTAATCCAATTAAATGACAAATATATTATTCTATAAATGTTTGTGAAACATATGTGACTCGTACTCTATTCAAAATAAAATATTTAGAATTAGCGATATTTTCGTTACCATTTACCATACCATTACCATCGATGAGAATTTTTTTATCATGAACATGGTAATGGTAATCGAATTCCCATGCTAACACCGTGTATTCACACAGAAAGAAAAGAAAAATATAAACAGCAGAAGGCAGAAAACAAAGAATACATTGTATTATGAACCAGCCTGAAGGTTGTACAAAATTTGGCTGTATTATATACACTAAAATGATATTAAATAGTGTATGATAAAAGAATTTGCCTCCTTCCACCTAGACGAAACATCAATTAAATATCTGTTTCATAAACAACAAATTCTTTCTTTCTGCATTTCTTTTTTCTAGTGAGAGCTATACTGTATTTATATACGTTGAACTCACTTAAATAAATAAAGTTTAAATCAACAACAAATACGAAGAAAAATTATAAACAAGTTTTCGATAACGGTAGAATTTTGGCGCTAATGGAATTTAATAAAAAACTTGAGTTTTATATCCCTATTCGGCTATATGTTTTTTTGCTTGTATCTTAATTAGAATATAGAGTACGCTTCTCTACTCACAAATAATATGAATATCAGAACACATTCGACCCATTAAAAATGTTTCTGTAGCCAAAATGTATATTTTCATCATTGGGTTAAACATTGTTAACTAACCTGATACTGTTTTACAATATTTTTTTTAATGCCATAATCTAATAAACTTTTATACCAGCAACTTAATCGAATAAAAGTCGGTATTTTTTGACCGGTTGGATGATGGTTAAAAATACTATCAGAAATCACTGTCAAAAGTCGTTTAGGTCCTTTTCAAAAGACTTGGTTTTCCAGGAGGATCTCCAGAAAATCTCTTAATCCAAATGTTCTCAAACAAATTCGGAAAGATAGAGCATGAAATTCTCTACAAAATGAGATGTCTGCCGACTGTGTACGTTGTTTTCTTCTTGAAAAATGAATTCTGTAATACTGTATCTGTTTTGTTTATAGTTGCTGGAAGTAAAAGTATCGAAATCATCTCTTGTTCTTCGAAACGCTACATTCTCATAAGAAAGCATCGTACACAGTCAGGAGACATCTCGTTTTGTAGAGAATCTCATGCTCTATCTTTCTGAACTTGTTTGAGAACATTTGAATTAAGAGATTTTCTGGAGATCCTTCTGGAAAATCAAGTCTTTTGAAAGCTACCTAAACAAATTTTGCCAATGTTTTCTGATAGTATTAACTTTACTCTATATGTCATGAAAGTTGCAGATCCTAATCCCGAGCACGCTGAGAGAAGGCTAGATCAAGTTTTAGATGGAAAATCCACTTTTCGCATCAACGGTCTAACATTTTTTGATGAAATTTTAAAAGTAAATAGTCCAGGCAAACGTACATCTTTCCTGAAAATTTCATTGAAAAATATTGCAGCATTCTGGAGACATCCCGATTTTGGCGAAATGTTTAGGTAAAAACCTCATCGTAAGGTGACATCTAAATCTTGAAAAGCAAGCATTTTTAACAAGTTTTATTTTAACATTTTTCTAGTTGCATATAGGTCTACAACTGGTGAAAATTTCACGCAAATCGGCGATAGTCACGGCGTCGAGCTGACTCACTCTCTCAGATTATGGCTCTTAACCGAACTTGTACAGAATTCAAATAATAAAACAAAACAAGATTCAATGACTGAATCCAATTTTTATTGTCTAATTGATTTTCTTTTCTATTGTTCTGTATTACATTACCAAACAAACGCGACTATTGATCTTTATTTCCTCGACAAGCGGTTATTGTCGATACTGTTACGCACGATCGACTAACATATTTATTCATCAATATTGCACTTTCGCGATAATACAATGAGAGGATTTTTTAGTTGAAAGATTTAGATTTATTTGAAAGAGAGGGGACATGTATTGATGACCTTATACGTGTGTAAGCCATGCTTTTTGGATACGAATGTAGAAAAGGCCAAGATTTTGTCGTAGAACGCTTCGTCTCTGTAAAAGGTTTTCCAGAAACCCTGACTTTTCCGTAAAAAACCGTTTCCAGAAGTCGCCTGACACAACACAAAATTTTTAGATAGAAGAAAGTACGCTCTACAAGACCTATATGGTTGTTTGTCTTCAATGTCTCAGGCTGTTCTAACGAGTAAGAAACGAGTACCCCATAAAACCGCAGCGCTCAAAAATCGATTTTCTGGACTCTCATTATGAAGTACGATGGCCGAAAAAACGGATAATGCCATAGATTTAGCATCCCCGCAAATAGCCTTAATATGACAAAGATAGTGGAAGCAAAAGATCGTCTCATTGAGGAAAGCGAAGCTGAAAAGATTGAGATACTATTGAAATATTTGAATGAACCATGTAAAGTAGTAGTTGAATCAGAAAAAAATGTGTCCATCGACGAACAAATGATAGGCAATAAAGGTACAAGAGCACCAACGTCTTTAAGACAATACATGCCGAAAAAACCTACTAAACGGGATTTCACAGTGTGGACTAAATGCGACGTTTCAGAATTTGTTTATCAAATGATTTTGTATTATGATACAGCATGACGATGAGATTTTACGAAAAAAAGAAATGATAAAATCCTTGTACAGTTCAAAAGGCTGTTTCTACTTCCAGATGCATCATTAAAACGTGTTACATGAATAACAACATCAGCACAAAATGATAATGAATTCCATGGAATTCAAAAAATAGCTTTTGATGTTACGTAGGTATATGCATATACCTACGTAACATCAAAAGCTTTTGAAAGGATATGGTGTGGCAGGAATGGTAGTATTCCATTCATTCCACTTGGTTCATCTACATTTATTGTTAATTATTTTTTATCAATTAAACATTCAGAATACCAATAATGAAATGTGCTCTGGGAAAACATACTGGAAATGTTCACAATGTAACGTTCATTTATGTCTTGGTTCAAGTTGCAATTGTTTTACACAATATCATGCTCAAAAGTAACTAAATATTATATTGAACTGATGAGCATTTTTTTGCACAGTAAGCATTCTTCCTATGCTATTTTTAAAGACTAGAAAATATATGTGTTGATCGACGCTCTGTGTGATCAGAGTGAAGTAAATCGAATCATTCACAAGAAAAACATTTTTGCTTTAAAGACGAAAACTCATAAATTTATGCCTTAGGGTCGAATATCCCTTCCAAGAGACCTTCCGTATCTCTAGAACAAAACCAAGCTAATTCGTTAGTTCGTTTTAGCTGTAGTATGGGCATACTGAGGGTCCATAATCTGTTCTTCAGCTTGCTCCCGTTGTCGAACAAAACTCTCTGATCTTTTAAGGGTAAACGAATCTGAATAAAACAGAAAATGTTTAATATCCCACAGCTTTAGAAAGTTTGGACACCGAATACACCGAAGCAGAAGTTGTTAGAGTAGACTATTATTAGACCTTTTTGCTATGAATCAATAAAGGTATAAATCAACAGTTTTAAGCAAAAAAAATAATACTATCTCTTTTGATCGAAGAGTTTTATATGAAACCTTAAACTAATAATAAAAAATTACTTATGGAGATTATATAAACGGAAAGTATCTTATATTATCATTGATAAAGTCATTAGAATTATCGTTGAAGATGTAGAAGAGAGTTTCATTTTTAGGATGCTCTTCTCTGTGTGCTTGTAGCCTTTTATCTCTCCTATTAACATGCTGATCGATTACCAGTATCATATTTTCCCGTCTTTCTTCCTTGTTTGTTGTCAATCTGGACAATTTGTACGTTGAATGCAGTTTACAAGAGCTATGAGTAATATTCTAAAATTAATACCTAGCTAAATTTTCATGTTTTCTGAGCTACTCATTGATGTAACTTGTTGTATTTTCATTTCATCAGGCCCTGTAGAAATTTTACAACGTTAGATAAGTTATCCATTGTTTGTCAGTAGTCATTGCTGTTTTTTCTTTGCCATTTAGCTTTATCTTCTTGGAGAATAAAGTTATTCGACTACTCAAACTCAGAATAACTTTTGAATATCTTCTAATAATTTAATAATTCTACACTAAACCTATTCGATATGAAACCTAAAAAAGGTTTCTAATATTTTTTCAATTCTAGACAGATTTCAAAACTCAGAATCTTTTCGGCTTCTGAAAACAACCATTTGTTTTTAGAGTGGACGAGTGTCTTGAATTACTTTATTCTCTATCTCTGCTGAAACAAAATCATCTTTCTTTATAATGTAACAAGCATATAATTGTCAGAAATTCAACTGAAAGCTGTTCAAGTCTCTTTTGAGACTTTAGAAACTAAGCTCTTTCTAAGACAATTATATCTTATAGTCTAATTTATAGAAGGATTAAACGCTAGAGTGCATCACTCTATTTCTCTGAACGCTCTCTCTCTCTTTCCAACTGTACATCCGTGTGGAAACAAGCTCAAAACCTACATAAATCTCAAAACATATTTATGTATTGGAATGAGGGAAACATGCAGAAGCTCAGGCTACAGAAAAAACCAACCTGACTGTCCATGTTAAATGTGCATAATAAACAAAAGAGATAGGTTTATTGAAACATATTCTAAAACTCCAGGTCCAGGTCTTAAGCAGAGCGTTATATTAAACGAACACATATCTAATTTTACACATTAAGAACAATAATAGTTAGAATAAAAATAAGCAGACGTTGTGGAATAAGTTCAAAAAATACTTTTCATTAAAGAACAAATTTAATTCCAAAACATGCATTTAAATATATTGTAAAAGTCAGCAATGGACAAGCACGAGTATTTACACGTATTCAAGTAAATACTGTGAAAGTACAGCGTTTTGGATACTCGTACTCTCGACTTTTTTTGATCTATACTCGAAAAAATTCTCGAGTACTCTACCGAAAACCTTTTGGAACCTACTGTGAATTTAGGTCGACTTTTTT